CCCACCCTGCCCCAGCCCCTGTGCCCAGAGCTCCCCACACTGCCCGCCCTGCCCCCCCAGCCGTGCCCCACAGGTCCTTGGCCTCTACCCCAGCCCCGGACCCTTCATGGGGACCATGTGCTTTCAGACGGGCACCCGCAGGGGCTCCAGCTGAGCCCTACCCAATGTCCTTCGCACGGACGGGATCCCCGGACCTCCAGCGCCGGTGGCTGGCTGGATGCCACCTCCCAGGTTACTGCTTAACTTTCCCTGGCACGAGCAGGCATCGCTGCTCTCCACGACCTTCGGTCAAGGCAGCACGGGGAGGAAGGCAGCCCTGCCTTGGGGGTTTCCTCCTGGCCTGGACCATACCAGGTGCCGGGGCACCGTGTGAGACCCTCCAGCTCAGTACTGGTACCAGGGCAGGGCAGTGGAGGACACAGATGCATTCCCTCAAAAAAGGAAAAAAGTAGGAACTAGCAAATTTCTCACAGCACTGGGGCTGATGTGGGGTGAGAGGCCTGGGGGTTTTGTGGGCATCCTTGGGCTTTCCAGTTCAGACTTCAACCCCAAAGTGTTGCCTCAGGGCCCTCTGCCAGCCCCTGGGAGCAGGGGCCATGTGTGGAGCCAGGCACCAGCGACCCTGCATGGGACAGGGCCGGCTGCCCGGGGTGCTGCACTCCCCCAAATTGGCGCGTGCCCAGCTCCCACGGCCACGTGTGGGCAGCAAACCGGCCAGGAACCCATGGGATCCTTCCCAGATGGAAGGATCTGCTTCTGCAGGGCATTGCTCCCCTTCAGCCTGGGACATCCCGCTGAGGCCACTAGAGATTGGTGCACATCAGGAGCGAGTGGGTTGACACCTCAGCCCCAGCACTACCTGCAGCTGCAGGCTCCTTGCCCTGCTTGTTTGGCCAGGGGGGTGTTACATGGGATGAGGCACCTGCAGTTTAACCCCACTGTGTTCCCATGGCTGGGGGCTGGACCCAGCTTCCCTGACCCCCCCACCCAGTGGGGACAGCAAAATGCCATCTCTGGGGTCAGCTATCTCCCCTGGTCTGGGAGAATTGTGGAACCAGCATCTTGCCCCCACTGCTGGTACGTGGTCCTCCAGATTCTAGATCTGGGTATCTCCCGTGGAAGCTGGTGCTGTGCCTCCCCCTCCAGCAGGGTCAACTGTCCCTCCTTTGCCCCCCCAAGATACCTCCATGCTGCTCAGCTGCTGCTACCCTGTTCCCACAGCAGGACCGTGCCAGCCCCGCTGCTCCCCAGGGAACATGCCCATCACCTTGGTCTCCAGGAAGGCCCAGAGCTGCTTGTTTGCTCTGGCCGGGGGACAGGGCCGTTTCCCAGCAGCCCTGTGCCCCGTCCTTGCTGGGATTTCTGCTTTCCACAGCGTGGCAGGGAGCCGGCTGGGGCCTGGCTGGGAACCAGCAGCCTGAGGCGAGCCAGCATTGTCCCCGGGAGCACAACGAGCCCTGTGCCCACACCCCCTGCCAGGGCACTGGGAGCACGAGGGGAACCCTTTCTGCCTTGCCCACATCAGACAGGTCCGATGCTCAGAAATAAGTGCTCGGGACAGCCTCAAACCGAAAAGTCATTTTATTGGTACCATACATGACTCATAAATGGCACAAACTATGGAGGGGAGGAAGAAAAAAAAAAAAAAAAAAAAAAAAAAAGAAACAAAAAGGCATTACAGTGTGCCCGGGGAGGGCAGTGAGGGGCTCCACACCCTCCACAGGAGCCCAGCAGTGCGGTGGCGAGAATCGTACCTTAATCTCAAAGCAGAGCCCCCCCTCCCTGCCACGCTGGGCTCCCACCCTGGGAGACTACCCCCAAACCCGCGAAGGGGCCATGGGGACCCCCCCATGCCTGCGGCTGGGGGTCCGCGGGGCTGAGCTCCCTGCCTCCAGGCTGCCCATGGAGGGGCCCAGGGGCCGATGCAGGCGTCTCTCCGGGGATTTTGGGCTTGAGATCAGGCCAGGGCTGAGCCAAGGGGCTCCTGTCTCCCTGCTCAACCCCAGGGACAGCAGAGGGAGGGGGGGACACAAGGTGTGTGTGTGTTGTCCCCTCCCTGCAGTCTCAGCCCTGAGCGGGCAAGAGACAGGGTGCAGGCAACACCCCTGCTGCAGCCAGAGACCCCGCGCAGGGGGGCAGCCCCTCGGCGCAGCCTGCCAGCCCCCAGCCCCACAGGGCAGTGGGACACAGGCTGTGGGATCCCCGGTGGGGAGCTGGGGCGGAGGCCAAGGCTGGTGGAGAGAGTGGGGTGCACCCCTCTCCCCCAAACCGCAGGGCTGCTCTGCCTGCCCCAGGCTCCTTAACACACTCACACACACAGACCTCTTGCACACACGCTCTTGCACACACACACCCCCCCCAGCCCAGGGCAGTGCCCCCCGCCCCAGCCACCCCTGTGGCAGCACTCACTGCAACCCCACCTCAGGGCCATGCCGGGGGGTGCCCACAGCTCCCCCCAAAACCCCCCTCCAAGGCTGCTGGGGTGAGCTGGTGAGCACAAACACCCTCCCCTGGCACCTCCCATCTTCTCCTTGGAAGAAGCCTTGGGAGGGATTATTTTTTTTTTCCTTTTTTTTTTTTTTTAA